GGGGGGTGAGGGGACATGACTTAAGGGGAAAAACATGACTTAATTGGGAATGTATGTTATATTAGAGGTTCTATCCGTTAACTCTTTACTTTTCAACAAGTTTAGGTACCGGCACCTTAATTTTAATAAAACCAACTTGAAGCTTTTTGCCTCATTTCAACACTGGGAATGGTTCTGATTGGAACATTATGCTTAAGTTTGAAATCATATTATTGTAAAGACATTTACCTGTGTGGTGTGTATGCCCGAGTCTGGATCTGTGCCCGATTTCATTTCAATCGACCTATGACCTTGACCTGGGTCAGGCGGGGCGGCGCCTCGGGCCACGACCGACAAGTCAGGAGCTCGGTTACCGTCAGGCCCCCTGGTGGTGGAGCCCCAACTTCCGCGGTTCCCCGTCCGCCGGAACTGGTCCGAGTGCTTCCGTCGGCGTTCTGGCGTGGACATTTTCACCCTACCGTCCGGAGATATGGTTTGCTCCACGGCAAAGGCTGTGCGACGGTTGCCGTCTGTTGTCGGCATATTCTGGACAACCCACGCGCCTTGTTGGCCCGGGGCACCAGGATGTTGCGGTGGCGTCTGGTAGGCGTACGCGTATGTTTGTGTGCCAGGCGGCCCCGGCATAAACGCCCCGGCCGGAATGAGGCCATACGGAACAAATCCTCCAGGATACCCCGCCATCTGTCCGTACGGATTCTGATTCCGGTTGGCCGGATAGTCGATCCCGGTGATTGGTTTAGTGAAAATCGGCTCAAAAGCTTCTGGAGGTAACACAGTCGGGTCCGGTTCTCTCCCATCCCCTCTCCGCCTGGACAGCGGAGATTTCTCTCCCTTCTTCTTCTTGCGCAGACTCCCGCTGGGCGAGCTGCCGTCGTCATCCACTCTGGCTCTCACGCCCGCATTGATGTGCAGCTGGCTCGAGATGGTGTCCAGATCGGGCTGGCTAGACATGTCCATGGACAGATAGCGCTGTAGCTGCGGGGAGTTTTTCTCCAGCTCTTGTTCCTCGGGGATCTCAACGTCTCCCTTCCTCTTGGACTTTGGAGAACCTTCGCCCTGATGAAAAGAGAGTTGGCGTTCATATGACCTGATGCAGTTGCTAGCGCAGTAAAACCTTACTAAACTATCTTTTTTTTAAAACAGGAAAGAAAGAGAGAAAATAAACAAACCGAACTCGATTCCCATGCGCTCATCATATCATTATTATGACCTTATGCAGTTACGAACACCGTAAAACCTTACCAAAACTTTTAAAAACTAACTAAAAAGAGAGAGAAAAAACCCATCCCATTTTGAGTCCCGTGCGCTCATCATATCTTTATTATGATCTTATGCAGTTGCCAGCGCCGTAAAACTCTTACCAAAACAAAATGAAGAGAGAGATTAATACACAATGTATACTATTAGCTCAGTTGGCATCATGTTGGATGCAGTATGGATGACCCCAGTTCCAGTCTGTAACAAGTCGTTCTGGAACTTGGCCTCATTTTAGGAGTTTTTCAGTGATAAATATCAGAGGTGTTACTAGAAGCTAACGACATACACAGAAATAGAGGAGAGATATGGTCGGCAGACGTTTGATGAGAAAGATCGAAGAAGCAAACCACACCAGAGCACCCACCAACCACCACCCACTCTATTCTGATGCTATACGCCTACAAAAGTGTCCACCTCTTCACCTACCTCTTTTAAAAACATTTTAGTAAGAGTTTTACGGCACTTGCAACACAATAAGGTCATATAAGTGACGAAGATTAGATATGTTAGAAGAGAGAATCAAACACAAAAAAGAAGGAGGAGAGATCAGGACGATAGATTTTTTTATAGGAAAGAAGGAGCAAACCACACCACAGCACCCACTAACCACCACCACTGGATTCTGATGTTGTACGCAGCACAAAAGTGTCCCCCTCTTCACTTACCTCTTTAAATTAAAATTTTTTTTTGTGACACATAAAAGAAGGAGGAGAGATCAGGACGATAGATGTTTGATAGGAAAGAAGGAACAAACCACACCAGAGCACCCGCCAACCACCCACCACCCACCTCTTTCCCTAGCGGTCGTTTCTGCAGTGTGGCGTCATCCACCGTCGCCTCTGTCTGCTCCGTGTCCTTGGAAGCATTGGAGTCCGTCTCGAAGACGTCATCGATGTTTGTCTCTTTCTTCGGCTTCCACCGCCCGTTGTTCTGGCCAGCTCTTCTGGAGTCTATGAAGTACACAAACAAACGAACGAAGAACATCAACAACATAATGGAGTCTACGTAGTACATAGACAAAGAACAACATAATGGAGTCTACCAAATACACAGACAAAGAACAACATAATGGAGTCTACAAAGTACACAGACAAACAACAACAAAATAATGGGGTCTATGAAGTACACGAACTAACGAACAAAGAACATCAACAAAATAATGGACTAAACAAACAAACAACAACAACAAAATAATGGAGTCTACAAAGTACACAAACAAATTTGTTTTATTTTGTTTTAGTAGAGGCTTTACGGCGCTCGCAACTTCATAAGGTCATATGAGCGCCAAGGGGTGGGTGTCAACAGAGAAGTCTTTACAGGGAATCAGACTTACTATGCTCACCTCTCTAGCTATAACAGCACAAAGTCTGCTTCGACTATCAAGGCACCCCGGAAATAGAAGGTCACAAGAGTTTGACAAACATACAAAAGAAGTAGAGGAGAAATGACGATAGTAAGGATTAGGAAAGAAAAAGCAGCAGTTCCCCCTATGTTGTTCCGGCACAGTAAGAGCATGACTGATGAATCAGCCCATTTACAATTCTACTGTGCATAAGAAGGTGGTTAGTGTCCCCCACCCCCCCACACCCTTGGGAACGGCCTAAAGACAGTTCAGTCAGTAGCACAGCCCGGGAAGGGGGGGGGGGGTGACACAAACAAAGAACAACAACAAAATAATGGACTAAACAAACAAAATATATCATTGCCCTGCTGTTCAGATGTAGGCCTACTAAACCCAGAAAGTTGAATTTTTGTATTGAGTTTTACGGAGCGGGTTGTTTCAGTACGTGAGACATGCAAATGTATTTACATGTACTAATGTCCTGTGCGTATGTGTGAGTACACCTAACCTTTGTAACGTCTTCTGCCATTGTTAACGACCAAGACAAATTTCTCCCTGCAAGATGAATAAAGATTGTCATTGTTTCACGCCCCCTGTCAACACTATCAAAGAGACCTTGATCCGAGTTTAACGTCCTTCTCCGAAAAGACCGAGCTAAATAGGAAATTCTCTTAAAATATCTTTCCCAAGGACAAAACTCTCGAACCCCTGAACCCGCAATCTCACGATAATGGGTCCAGCAGCCGAACTACTAATGCTACTAATGCTTACTGACAACTTTGATTTCAAGTGTCCATATATTATAATATTATATGGTCGCTTTTAAGCACTAGGGGGCTATCCCGAAAAATGCTGTTTTGAGAAAATCGAAGGTTAAGTTTTTGCCCCTTGTTCCGTTTCTTTAAAAGACAAGGAGAGTTTTCTCTATAACCAAACAAATATACACACCAATGAAACAAAACGCCTCCTATACGTAGGGCAATGCCCACTTTTGGTGCAGGTCAAGATTTCTGGAAACCCCCAAAATCTGGGTTAGCCCGCTTGTCCTTAAAAGTGACCATATAAGAGAATACCAATGTGGGTGGTTAGCGGGTGCTCTGGTAGTGTGGTCTGCTTCTTCTTTCCTATCAAACATCTATCGTCCTTATCTCCCCTTCTTCTTTTTAAAGTTTGTTACCCTCTTGTAACACCTCTCATCTTCTGGCGCTCATATGACCTTATGCTGTTGCGAGCGCTGTAAAACCTCTACTAAAACTAAAAGAGAATCACAATACCTTCTTCTACATCGTACGGCTCGTAATCATGGCCAGACAGTCTGTTGTTCCAGGAATTGGTCTGGCCCCGCTGTTGTGTCGCCTCTCTCTCAAACTGTCGGCCTATCCTCATGTTGTTCCGCGGGATTCCATTCTGGTAGTTGCGCGGGGCTTTGGGGCCTGGCTCATACTTCCCAGTGGTCACTGTGCTCCATACCACGGGGTCCTGGCGAGGTGAGATATGATTTGATGAGATGGGGTGTGATGAGGTGAGATTTGATGAGGTGAGGTGAGGTGGGATGAGGTGAAGTGAGGTGAGGTGGGGTGGGGGTGAGGTGAGATTAGATGAGGTGGGGTGAGGTGAGGTAAGATGAGATGGGGTGAGGTGAGGTGAGGTGAGGTGAGGTGAGGTGGGGTGGGGTGAGGTGAGGTGAGATTAGATGAGGTGGGGTGAGATGGGGTGAGGTGAGATTAGATGAAGTGGGGTGAGATGAGGTGAGGTGAGATTAGATGAGGTGGGGTGAAGTGAGGAGAGGTGGG